AAAGACAACACCGAAGGTTATTTTTTCCATAGGACAACAACTAGTTTCCCATTGAACCTAGTCACTTCCTCCCAACCTTCTGCTTTTTAAGTACCTATAAATGTCAGTTCTTCAAAATGTTCCTTGTATAAGATTTGTCACCTTACTGGTTCTCTCATCAGTAAGTTAATGAATCTTTGACATATCTTCATCCTATATTTACCTGAGAGCCACGTTTTTAACTTTCTTAAAATTCAATTTCTTGCTATGTATATCATCTAGTGTTTCTTCCTCCAAAATAGCACCTTTATGGTATTACATGCACACACCTCGTCAGGTCTGCCTCATCCCACCTCCCAAAAAGAGTACACTCAACATGAGCCAAGCAGGCAGCTAGCTAGGTGCTGGGAATGAAAGGGTGGCTTCCTCCCAGCTGACCCGGCATTTCCACCATTCCAGTTCTTTGAATTCATCATCTGTGCATCATGTTGACTTCAAAAGACTGCTCTTGGCAGATGAGATGGCCAGCCCACCACCTAACAAGGGAGGGACTTTGGATCAGGCTCCTCGTGCTGCTGATGAGCTGGGCTGAGGGTCTGAGGGTCGGAGCTGGCTTACAGGGAACGACCAACACTTCCTCATCCAGGTTTGCAAATGACACGCAGGGCCAGACATGAGGTGACTGAAATGCCGAGGGGAGTAGGCTCAGAGCCCGCCTGGGACATTTTCTTTCTGGGTGAAACTAACTGATCCTCAAGAGAGCCAACCACTGACTTAGACTTCATTAGCACCTCATTCAGCCCACAAAATTAACCACTCCCGTCTGCGCCAAGAACCACAAGGAAGCAAAAAGTTTAATGGATTTGGAGAAGAAGGCCTTCATTTTACATCTTAACAGGTCACTGACAACTTTCACACTTTATTGAGAGAACCAACAGAGCCATTAGCGGGTCGTTTGACCCACTCTCTTTAAAATCTAAGCTCAGTAAACAACTCTAATAGCTCCAAGAATAGACGGTGATCTGGGATTGTAGCCTGACGGACGTCTGCCAGGCAGATTTGCTGGCTGCAGGCGCTTCCCAGCAGTCAGTGTCTTGCCAGGGAGCTTCAAGCTGCAGCTCGGTGCATTTTGAAGGACTTTCTTCCACCTGAGTTGCCCTGGTCTTCCATTTCTGTACGATGTGCTCAGCTTCAACCACGTATACTAGGAACTGTGCTGTGTACGGTGCGGGATACGAAGTGTGGACATTCTGTCCTCAAGGATCTTCCTATCCAGTGGGGAATACAAGACATAGATCTAAACAGCTATCATTTGGGGTAGAAAGTGACCAGTAGGGGCACCTGGGTGGCTCAGTTGGCTAAGCGTCTGCCTCCAGGCCAGGTCATGATCCCAGGGTCCTGGGATCAAGCCCCGCATCGGGCTCTTCACTCAGTGGTGAGTCCACTTCTCCCTCTGCCTCTCCCTCTGTGATCTCTCTGGCTCTCACTCTCTCTCAAATAAATAAATAAAATCCTTAAAAAAAAAAAAAGTGACCAGTAATTCACAAGTATTATAAACTTTTGTGCCAGTTAAGGTGCACTGGTGATTCGGTGGAGAGCAAGTCCTTACTTAAGGTTCAGGAAGCATTTGTTGAATGAAGGAGAGGAGGTAATAATTGCTCAGCGCTTACTATGGACCAGGCTATGTGCCAGGCGTTTTCTCATTTAATATGCTCTTTACAGGTGCTCTCTTTGGTAGGTGACGTTATCCCCATTTTTAACAAATAAGAAAGGCGGGGCTCAGAGATGTTAGGTGACTTTCCCGAGGTCACTCAGATTGTGAATAGCAAAGGAAGGTATCAGACACAGAACCATCTGACTTAAAAGATCCTGCTCTTTCAACCTCACTACCTTTACTATTAGCATTGCAGTGCCTCCCTTCCTTCTGTGCCGTCTGACTGATCTGTTTCCAAACTGAGGAACTTTGCAGGACAGAGGTTGGCGAGCAATAAGGCATCCACTGCTCCTTTAAGATAAGGACTCACAAAGCCATTTGCACTCTCGACAGCATGGGATTGATGCTTGGATCTGTCCCTTCATGTTCCCTAGCATCATCTGTGGGATCCCCTTATCTCCCAAGAAAATGGGAGACTGAAAGGGCAGAAAAGAGAGAATAACCGTGATTGCCAGGGCTAGAGGTACAAGCTCTGCCCCTTCCTTTGGGATTCTTCCACCAGGGCTGGCCACATACACAGAGTGGACACCCAGCAAAGCCGAAAGCCAACGAGACTTCCACCTGAAAAATGCCCTCCCTCCTCCTTCCACCGTTTTTACTTGGTACGAGGAAATGATCTCAATTCCTTCTCTTTCGCTTTCTTTGGGAAAAAGAATTCCAGACTTTCGTCGCTTTACAAAGCCTTCGGAAAAAAATCTAAACTAGTGAGTCAGGACAGCCAGACCCTGTGCGCTTACCTCCCCCAGTAAAGCCGGTGTAGCTGGTGAACCACCCCTGTCCCTCCCCCAGGGCACCCTGAGTAACTCACGGCCATCCCCGGGCTGCGCCTTACACCTGTCCTCCAGAAAGCCTTCTCTGATGAAGTTCCGCAGAGCGGGTGTGCGCGCGCGCGTGCATGTTCCCACCCCCACCAGCACCCACACTCATGCGCACACACACAGTAATACAGCAATGGCCCTACTGTGTGCTCCCACCGCCCTCCGTGCTGGCCAGGCATGGTGTTTACTACGTGGCGCTGTGCCCAGCCTTGCGGGTGAACCCCTCCTCCCCACCCTCCCGGACAGGAGGCATTCTAGCTGGTCTTTCTACTCCCAACGCTGAGCGCAGTCCAGGAACCCCATAAACCCTGGAGTCAGGGAGGGACAGACAGAAGGGAAAACTCTGCCCGGAGTCTCCTCCTGCCCCGCGGCCTCACTGGGCTGGCACTCCCTCAGGCCGGTGCAATTCCCTGCAGCCAAAGCTGGGGCCGGAGGGGAAGCGGGCCAGAGGGAAGAGCCCACAGCTCTCCTGTGACAGAGGTCAGAGCCATTGCTGAGGAACATCTGCAGTGTCCACATGGGCCATGAGGATGACCAGGCATCTGATGGCCCTGGGCCTGTAGGTCCTGGGACGCTGCAGGAGGGTCTCCAGAACAGCCGGCCCCGGCCCGCCTGTCCTGGGCTCACCAGAGGCAGGAAATTCCATGTTGTAATGGTTGGATTTCTTCCCTTCATTCCTGACCCATGACTAGGTAGTGAATTGGTCATTAAAGAAACCACTTTGGCAGATTTCAGGAACATCTGACTGCGCTCCAAGCATGCAGGGAGAGGAAGATGGAACAGGACCAACCTTGGGGCCACACGTTCTCACCTTCATTCCCGTTGCTTGCCTGACGTGAAAGGGAATCAAAATGTTTGGAAGCCCTTCTGTCAGCATCGTGCCCAGCGTTGCCTGGAGCTGCATTCACCACGTCAACATATACATTTGAAAGCTCCTCTGGGTGAGAGGCGGCAGCCACGTTATCAAGCTCGGCAGCCACGTTATCAAGCTGCACACCTGTTGACCTGGGCAGATTAGAAACATCGTTCCTGGTGTCTAGGGACGCAGTGCTTTTAAACGAGTGCTTTTCAGAGAATGAGCCATTGAGACGTACTTAGCCTACATGTAGCCCAGGAACCTGAAAACAAAAGTCCAATCAGTCCTGAATCAGCAACTCTGAGCAACAGGTTGGAGAATGGGGCAGTGGGTATGTGCAGAGAGCTGGTGACAAAGGTTACTACCCGGTAGATCTTTCTCTCCTGCACAGCTAATGGTTGGAGGAAACAAAAATCATCTTTACACTGCATTTGCACATTTTTTGATCAAGTAGGGGGGGAAAAATCACATTCTCCCTCACATTTTACTTCCTTTTTCTAAAAAGAGATTAAATGGGGGGGGGTTAAATTCACTGTTTCCATTCGCCATGAGGATTTTGCATTCCATGTGGAATGCAAACTGAGATGGAACTGAGATGGATCTCAGTTTCGTTTCAAGATGAGACTTTATTTCATTTCCAGACATGTACAGAGTGGTCCATACCCCTCCATTACTTCTTCCTTTTGGACACAATTGCTGGGCGAGGCAGTAAGCCTGCTGGGTAAATCAAACTGTCAACTTTCCACCCTAGGCACACCCTTCAGGTCTATGAAAGCAAACCTGGACATCTCCTCCTGCACCTAACATTCAATATTGTGATAAATCAGGTGGGCTAAAGCACTGTACTATTTAATTTAAAAACAACAACAACAACAACAAAAACTTTTTAAAAATAAATATTAAGCCTTGGGCGCCTGGGTGGCTCAGTTGGTTAAGCGACTGCCTTCAGCTCAGGTCATGATCCTGGAGTCCCAGAATTGAGTCCCACATCGGGCTCCCTGCTCAGCAGGGAGTCTGCTTCTCCCTCTGACCCTCCTCCCTCTCATGCTCTCTGTCTCTCATTCTCTCTCTCTCAAATAAATAAATAAAATTTTAAAAAATAAAAATAAATATTAAGCCCTTCTTGTTTCATTATTAGCTTTGCCTTATAGACTATAAAATATGTAGGTGGGTTACTATTCTTGGTTTTTATGGTTTTATTAACATTTCAGAGACAGACCAAAGCAGAGAGATTTGGAGCAGAGAAGCTGTTCACACAGTTCTCTATCCTGAAAGGTGGCTCCAGTGGAACAAAAGAAAAAAATAACCGAACCAAGAAAGGGTCCAGCATCCTTTTCCTTTCAAGAGCTTGATATTCGAGGGCCTAATAGGGATCCATGAGTAGCCTACAGAGTGCCCTCGTGGGACAAATAATATTCATCTTGGTTGAGAAATGTGGACTTGGCTGAGCCCATCTGCTCCCACTGCAGGCCAAGGTGGCCTTTCATTTGGAAATCACGCTGTCAGCTTGGTTTAGAATATACACGATGAGGCATATGCTTCTTACTGCCCAGGAAGAGGTTGTCATGGAGAAATGTGAAGCCTCCTGATGAAAGCTTGCACTTATGGACTCTCCTCTTCTCTTCTCCCCTAGTTACTGTGACAGTGGGAGGCAAGCAACACTTGCTCGGACTATATGACACCGCGGGACAGGTAACGTTTTGCTGTTTTGATTCATTAAGGGTTTGGGAGTGGGGAGAATGATCCGTGTGGCTAGGCATATGGGAACAGATATTACCTCTTCTGATCACTTGGGACAAATTTATTGTCTATCTAAATGACAACCAGTGGTACATTCTTAATATCTTAACACATATAATTACAAAAAAACCGAATCATTACTCAAAGTGTTGATGGGCAAATAACGATTCATTCATTGGTTGATGACTATCAATAACCAAAATAACATATTTGGCCAAGAGCCTCAATTTCTTCCTACCCACACCAATTTTGAACCCAGAATGAGTCAATTTTATAAATTTTACTTTCACCCATTATTTTTTTTTTCACATTAGATACTTTGCCCAGCCTTTATTTGAATTGCCTAATGAGCCCTGGAAAGGTCCAAAAAGAGATGGGGAGGTGGGTGGGGGTGGGAGCGAGATGGATTAAGTATTGGAAAGAAGAAAAGCCAGGATCCTGAATGGTTTCTAAAAGTGAGGGTTGAGCCCTGAATAACTGGAGGTTGACTCTAAATTCTCTAAGCTTCTTGAAATATCCTCACTCTGTCAGAGATGTGTCTTCAAGTTGGAGAACGTGGCCAACCAGTAATGTAAGGCCGTAGACTAGAAAGAACCCTCAACACTTATCAGTTAGCACATGCCCTACTTGGGTAAAAATGCCACCTCATCTTTCTTTCCTCGCACCCCACACTCCACTATGAAAAGTTTCTAATGTTACAAATTCATGGGTTAAGCAACTGATGGCTGTGGCCCAATTTCTTTGATAGAGCTTTTGTTACCATTGGGTCATTTATTTAGGTCAAAGTCAGCGGGTTGTTCATACATCTTAAGTCCTTTGGAGTGAACATTGACCATGCTCTTTCCCACTGTGAGTTTCCTGGTCATTGCTCTTTGTGGTTATGCATTTGTCTGGGCCTTTTGTTCACAATTATCTGGAGATATGTCTTTTTGCTCAACTTGAAAACTCTGTACTAGGAAAAATAATAATAAATGGATTTCCTTTGGGGGTTTCTGTATGTATTTGCAAGGACCATGTATAAATGCCTGTGGGACATCAGAGGCTGATGTAGGATAGGCCTGGACAGTGGGGAACCTGGAAAATCTTGCACCAGACTCAAGACTTCTAAGAATTAGTCAGTTACCCTTCATTTGCAGATGGTTGTTTTAGCCAGCTACTCTCAGGAACTGGGGAGTGGAGGAGACTTCGCACATCGATATCAAGACACACAATTAGGAAATGATGTTCCAAATGCCTAAATCGGAAATCCTCTGGGTTAAGGTACAAAGGCCTCCGTGCACCCGCTACTTGACTGTCCCCCCCACCAGAAAGCCTTCCAGCAATAGAGGTACACTGTTTTTTGGACTGAATTTGCCTACTTTCATTCAGTCATATAGTCATTAGAGTGTCCCCATTCATCAGAATCTCACAGCCTGGAAGAGAGAGAGTTTACACCTTTCATCCCCATAGTCAGAGTTTATGAATACAATCTAGTTTGAAAAGTTCAGTACAGCAAGGATTATTGCCTGGCTCTGAAACCTGTTTCCCTCACCTTCTAAAAAGTTCCCTGTGCCCCTCACGCCCGTCCAGTGCTCCCCTCTTCTATATCAATCCATGACAATTGTTAGCTTCTACCCATTCATTGTCCTCAGAACAAACTCCCTAAGCCTCTGTTTAATTTCAAATCCAATATAACTGTTTAAAAGCTCCTATAGAGTTTAATTATTATTTCCCACTGCTGTCCATTTTAGAAAAAAATTTAAATAACACTAGTATAAGACTTGAAGCTCTAAAGCAGTATAAAAATATCGTAAAACTCCAAATTGAAGAAAATAGAATGATCCAGACCTGACACAGAAGAAGTGATGGGCACTGATAAACTATCACAACAAGTGGGTTATAAATATTCAACTTAACTTGTACTCTAATGCTTTCCACCAGCTACTTTGAAAGCTCAAAAGCGGACAAGGTTCATGGAGGGGCATGCAGCTTGGGGAAAAGGAATCAGAACACATCTTAAGATTCCTTCTGGGCCTAAAATTCTATGATCAGGACTTTAACAGACTACTTCAAGAAGGCCTAAAAGACCTGGAGTAATTAAAATTATTTGAGGCCAGACCCAAGGGAAACCTTCCAGCAGCAAAGGATTATTAAATATTGGAGTGTGTTAAAGGGTGACATGTAATTTATTTTGTAAATAGTGGTGGTTCTCAAACTTGAGCAGACATCAGAATCACATGCAGGTCCTGTTAAAACCCAGCCCCTGGGCCCCACTTTCAGAATGTCTGATTCTACAGGTCTGGAATGGGGCCCAAGGATTTGCATTTCTAACAGGCTTCCTGGTGTCTTGGCTGCTAGTCTGCACACCATATTTTAAGAAACACTTCTGGGGCGCCTGGGTGGCTCAGTCGGTTAAGCGTCTGGCTCTTGGTCTCAGCCCCGGTCTTGATTGTAGGGTCATGAGTTCAAGCCCAGTGCTGGGGGAAAAAAAAAAAGAGTCACTGTTCCGGAACCTTGCCACTCAAAGTGCTGGTCCACCAGCAACATCAACATCACCAGGGAGCTTGTTAGGAATGCAGATTCTCAGACTCCAGCCTACTGAATCTGAAAATTCATTTTAGGAAGATCCCCACATGATCCATATGCGAAGCACTACTCTAGAAGTCTCTGGTGATCAAAGCATGGCTCTAACATTAGGAGGATGCAGCGGAAAATACCCCTTACCTGAGTTGATTCCCCTGGTTCCACACCTCTGCCAATAACGCTTTGTGACACATTTAACTTAGAAGAATGATCCCCAAATACCCATTGCCTGCCTCAGGCAGGATCATCCACTGTCCTCAGTTATATTTCAGCAAACGTCACTGAGGTCACAAGGTTAAGGAACATTCAACTAATTCAAAAATACTCATATGGCCAGAGTTACTAAGAAAGAGAGGTGATCTCAAAACCAACTGATTAATCTCTGAGCCACAAAAAAAAAATAAGTCTGAAACCAACTCTAGAATGCTATCTTGCTGGGAATAATTAGATTTTCTGACATGAATAAACCAGGAAGTAGTGTCCCTCCTCTTTGTCTTGAGCTAACTCTGGGTCAGAGTTGATGAAAACAACCTCAAGAGGCACATGTTCTGAAAAGTAAAGTGATTGGAACTCGGTATTTCTACCCTCAAAGTCAGTGCTGGACAAAATGCTTTAACCTGGCTCTGTCCACATGGCCATACCTAGTCATACCACTGTGGCCCCACCAGCCCCCCCTCCATAGATATGCTCCTGGCCCTTCAGAAGCCCACCAAGCATTTGCTAAAGACAATTTAGAATGAAGTCACATGGGGGCTCCTAGGTGGCTCAGTCCTTAAACGTCTGCCTTCGGCTCAGGTCATGATCCCAGGGTCCTGGGATCGAGCCCCACATCGGGCTCCCTGCTCCGCGGGAGGCCTGCTTCTCCCTCTCCCTCTCCCCCTGCTTGTGTTCCCTCTGTTTAATGAGCTCCCTCCCCAAATCCCCAAAACAAAGGAATACTGGGACTTGGAGTAGAATCCTTTGAAAACAAAGAGTCTTCAGAACTCTGGTTCATCTATTAGGTAGAATTCCAAACATTAAGCTAAGGCAATGGGGCGAGGAGTTTTTGCAGGCTGACTCTGCACGTGACCCCTCAGCTCACACTGGAGAGGTAGTAAGGCCGGGCCTGGATGCCAAATCTACTGAGGTTGTGCCAAGTCATGCTGTACAGCCCAGGCCCCTGGGAGTGTATTACTCAAAGGTTCTGAAAGGGATTTCTAGAGTTCAGATCTTTGGCTCAGCTACAGAGAGTCCCAGAGCTGACTTTTCCATGACGTACTTGCAGGCCAGTGTGTTTCGAGTGCGTCATCAGAGACCAAGCAGAGAACAGGATGCTGGGGTGGGGACGCTACAGCGAAGCCTGGGCGTTCGCCAACCGAGGAATGCCAAACTGGGGGACTGGTCTGTCCCAGGTCGTGGCTCAGAGCCAGGCAACCTCCCATCCTGCTCCCAGCCACCTAGAACGGAGCCTGCCATGGCAGGAGACATCTTGCCTCCTCCTGTCAGTGAGCCCTCAGCTACACGAGCCGTGTAGGTGAAGCCCTACTCAGATCATGGCCCCTCAGGCCCAACTCCAGGATAGACATGGCCCAAAGGCCACATTTGCAAAAGTGGTGTTGGCGGCCCCATCAGGGAAGAATAGGGACCTCCTGGTGTCAGGAACTGGGTATCTCAGCAGCATGAACCCCCGGGGTTCTCTGCACACAAGCCCCACAGGATGGGGGACTATCTGTATGTTGGCAAGCATGGAATGGTGTCCATCACTGCGAAGCCACAGCCCCCAGCAGCTCAGCTGTCACCAGTGACCAGGGAAGTGTGGGAGTAGAAAGGCCATATCAGCCACATGCCACCCTCAGCCGGGACTGCACACCGCGTGTCTTCACCTGCCCTGATTCCGGAAGCGCCTCTGCCCCAAGAGTTTGACGAGGCATGCAAGGCAAGTACCACTGGGGTTCACTCATGGCAACCCAGGGTCCACTTGGAAGGACATGAGCCTTCCCTTTGGCCATTGGCTGACCCCATGGGGCCATCTGGAGCACAGAACCTGGCATCAACCCTCCATGGAAGTTTGCCTAACACCTCAAAACAAATGTTTTTCCCCAATGAGCAACTCAACTCTTCTTGCTCATATGTATCTTAGTGTGGTTTTAGAGGTGTGCAATTTGGAGATTAGGAAGAAGTTTGCAACATGACAAGTTACTGGTAAAAGTAAACTTAGGACACAATCTTACTTCTCAAATTACTTAAAAAAAAAAATTGAGCTGTAGGGACATTGATTCAGAGGTGTAATTAGAATATGCAAGTATGTGGGTCTTGTTACTAGTCAGTTTAGAGAAAATGAATTTCAGATTCAGCCCTGGTATCCACTGAAGGCGGGGACACTGAAGCTATTGTTCACGGGGATGGACTCTTGACCACTAGAGAACTTACTACATTCAAGACAGTGCTCTAAGTGGTCGACACATACGAATGCACTTTATTCTCAAACAACCCTATGGGGCAAACACTACTATCAACTTCATTTTACAGATAAAGAAACAGGCCAAGAGAATTTACACAACGTCACACAGTAGTCCCCAGGCAGTGCTGGGATCTGAACCTAGAGAATGTGTCTCCCTGGCCCACGCTTTTAAGCACTATGCTACACCCCCACCCTCTGGCTATTATTCACATTTTCCAAACCAAGCCTGACAGATATGAGTGTACTTATGGGGGAAGACGAAAATGAGACTTATGCTAAAGTCTAGGATAAATGTCACTAAACCCAAGAGGACTTGGAAGCAGAATTCTATTTCCAAATGATTGTGGGTAGGGGCTGGGGTGGGCTTGGGATTTGGGGGAGGGGTAGTCTCAATGCAACTCTCCTTGTCACTCAAAGTGACAAGATCGGTTGAGGAAGAGGTATCTTCCTCTGGATACCTACGGAAGAGGTATCCAGAATACGGAGCAAGATAAAGCCCAGTGAAGGACAAAGTCGCAAGTCGCTCAGCATCACCCGGAAACTTGTTAGAAATAAATTCTCAGGCTTCATCCCAGCCCTGCTGCTGAATGAGAAGCTGCACATTAACAAGATTCAGGGGTGCCTAAAGTCTGAGAAGGATTGGTTGAATCGTTTCACTTCCTCACCACCTGGGCCACTACGCTCTGGCTATTCCAAACATATGTGGAAGGCGTGTGGCCATCTGACGAGGCTGCCCATGAACTGTTCTTTCTTCATAGTGGCTCACAGTCATCCTAGAGCACAGGATCTGCCTTCAAACCAGTCTCCTGCCTTTGGGGTAAAGTTAGTGGAAAGTACTCAAAAGCCTACCTTGCCCCAGCCCCCTCCCTATCCCCTGAACCCCCCCCCCCACCAAACCCCTTGTCCGTTTTAGCCCTCCAAACCCCACTCAAGTATCAATTTTAGATTGACACACTGTCTCCTCTAGAAACATTCAAGCCCCGGTCTTCCATTCTCAGTCTCAACATTGTAAGGGGCCTCAACTACCAGCTAGACGAATTCTCCATTTCTCATAGCTCCTTTACAGCATCTCCACCTGTGGTCATCCAACCTAGGCTCAAAATATGCCCTGTTTGGGAAAACGTTATCAGCTGGTACAAATTCAATCCCCCCCCTCAACCTCCCACCGCCCAGCCCTCACTCTCAAGAGGACGTTTCCCCTTACACATTCGGAAGCCCCTGCCACGTGTCATCACTGCAGCCTGTGGCTAAGGGGGGCGACAGGAGTCCTGCCAGCCTACGTGCGAGCCTTCTGTAGAGGTGTGTTTGCTCTGTGGTCCTGAATAAATCACTCAGTCTGTCTAGAGTCTGGCTTCTTCAACTATGAAATCAGCTGAGGGGACCAGGAAGTACAGTAACCTGTAGTTGTGACATTTGAATTGCAGCACAGTCACCCGGCAAGCTTGCAACACAGATGGTGCCCCCCCTTCCCAGGGCCGCAGCCGCAGGAGGGCAGGGAAGGGCCTGAGAATGTGCATTCCTTACATACTCCCAGGCCAAGGCTGCCAGGTGGGGACCACACTTGGGGAGCTCCTGCACTAACCGATCTCTAAAATCTCTTCCTGTCCTGCTCTGTGCTTTTCTGATCCAGTCAAATAAATATTCTACCTTATCACAGAGCTAACAAAGAGCAAGAGAAATTTGGCCTACCTCACTTCCAAATAAACTGAGTTCTTTCTATATTTTCATTTTCTTTCCCCCAAGTGGAGAGTCAATTCTTATTCATATTCTAGGCTTCATATAGCATCTTTAACAGTGCAGGAGACAATTAATCCATCTTTCTGAATGGAGTTACACAGCAGAACTAAGGCTTCTACAGAAGAGGTATCCAGAATACGGAGCAAGATAAAGCCCAGTGAAGGACAAAGTCGCAAGTCGCTCAGCGGGAGGGCCCTGGCTACCCTGCCAGGAGTAAATGATCAAAAACCCAAGCTCCTCTCACACTCCGCCTACAGGCCCCCACAGCAACTCGTGGTCTTCCTAACTCTTCCAGAATGGGAGCAGGATTGCTTTGATAGCTTCTGGGTATAGAATCAAATAAACATGATCCTTTCAGACCACTAGTTATTTGTTCCTACCTTATTTAGTTGTGACACGTCTGATTGTGCAGTTTTTGGTTTTTGGCTTTGAGGTTTTAAATATGCAGTGTCTGCTGCCATCTGGTGGTAATTACTAGCAATTGCAGGCCATGAAATAGATACTAAACCTGGAAGGTCCAACATTTCTTAGATTCCTGGGTTAAGTAAGCATTTGCATTAAGATTCCCAGATAACTGAATTTTCCAAAAAAAAAAAAATGCTTAATCTGTCACTTAAAGTTCTGAGATGAAGCAAATAATGTTATCACAATTAAGAGCTGCAGCTGGATTTGGGCTAAATAGCCCATCCCAGTATTTAATAGATCATTATCGAACTTCTCTAAAACTTAACTTCCTCTTCTATGAAATGAAGATGTGGATGCTACCATCTCTCCAGTGCTATGGTGAAGATTCAACAAGGTAATGAATGTAAGTCCCTGAAACAAGGCCTGACCCTTCATGCTAAGCCCCTGATGCAACCTCAGTGATGATGAAGATAAGGATGATGCAAATCAGCTATTCTCAATTCCACGTCAATTCCAAGCCCATGATACCAGAATGCCCCAATACTCCGGCCCACTCTCCAAAAACTGATTTAATTGGGTCTGGAGTGTGGGGAGAGAGGTAGGTAGTTGGCTAGCAGGGTGTCAGGATGGACTTAAAAGTTCCCCTGGTGATTCTAATGAAAACTCTGCCATAAATGACCAACAGAAAGCCATGTGTTCATTTGCAGGTCACTGCCCCAATCTGTGAGCGGCATTTATGGAATGTGTGCTGTGGACAGAGTATAACTAGGGCATGAGGAAAAAAACAGCATGGTCCCTGCTCCATTTATCACAATCCAGATGGGAGGATGAAGTGGCAGAGGGCAGGTGGTATCATGAACAGCTGTAAGTTATGGCCTGGGAAGGAGCGTTCTTAGCTTGTCAGCCTCACAGCTGCTCCCTAAGGGAAAGCCCCAGAGAGAAAGAAGAGCAGTGAAGAGACCGTGGGCAAGAAGGCTTGGTTACAGGGTTCTTGTGTAAAGAGGAGGGGATAGTGACAAGAAATGAGCTGTCCACTTCCCCACTGCCTTGTCACCACCAGCACCACATACACACGGGGAGCAATTTAGCCGATACACAACCTGTAGGCCCAGCCCAACAGCCCAGTATGACCAGCATTTATTCAGCAGTGCCCCCAACTCCGATTATTGGCTTAATAGAAATATGATCAATGAGCCACTATAACTGATTTTTTTATTCTTTTAGTTTACTTTTTAGGACTTAGGGTTTTTCAGCATCCTTGCCATCTTATACTGATTTTGTTTAGATAATTAAAAACCTTTGCTTAGGGGCACCTGGGTGGCTCAGCCGTTAAGCATCTGCCTTCGGCTCAGGTCATGATCCCAGGGTCCTGGGATCGAGCCCCGCATCGGGCTCCCTGCTCAGCGGGGAGCCTGCTTCTCCCTCTGCCACTCCCTGCCACTCTGCCTACTTGTGATTCCGCTCTCTCTCTCTCTGTGTCAAACAAATAAATAAAATCTTTAAAAATAAATAAATAAAAATAAAAATAAACAACTTTGCTTAGATTTTAGTAGGATTAGCAGTGGCAATAGCTGCAGCCTCGTGTGCTGAGTCCCTGCAGGCTGGGTACTTGGAGTAGCTCAACAGTAAATCAGCTCATGCCCACCCACCAGGGACTTCCTTCCAGTCACATGTGTTCGTGTACATATGTCCTCCCTTTTTATAAAGACATCCTGAGAGTCATCAGAAAGATAGCAAAGTTGATATTTTTAAATATCCGTGACATAGCAAGTTTAAAAAATCAAGTGGCACAACAATATGAACTATGCAATCAATTTATCTTTTTTAAACTAAATACATGTCTATTATATCTGTAAATAAATATATAAAATGTGGAAGGATACTCTTAAATCATGGCTCCCTCTGGAAAGAGAGGAAAAACTAGTAGAGATCACACAGAGGGTGAAAACAAGCTTTCACTTCTTCTGTATCACTCTAGGTGATGTTTGAATTTTTGCAATAAACATAGATGGGTTTTATCATTTTTTTAAATGTTAGGAAGATTAGTCAAGAGCCTGAAAAATGAATTGATATGTTGCCCATGTCTATGTATGGGGTCAGTGTGGACACACAGGTTTCTTTGCCCTGTGTGTGGATAGCGTGTGCACGGACACAGTGTGTGTGCCCATATAAAGAATGCATGGTGTGTATGACCGGTACGTCAATTGTGGTGTATGCAGACCTGTGTGTGTACATGGTATATACTTATACAGTGTAAGTATACACACACATAAAACTACTTTTGGCTTATGTGTGACTAAGTTTGATGAACATATAAAATGTTATATTGAGAAAGCAGATTTACCTTGGAACCTCCTGAAACACTTCACATACAAAAGGTACTTGCTGACATTTCCCCAAAGTTGAGATGATCCAATGTTTTACTTTGTCTTTATCATCTTCCACTAAAACAGCATATACATAAACATCTTATGTAACCAGGAACTCTTCGACCAGAGCATATTCTGATCTGAAAAGTGGGGAAAAGAATAATTAATCTAGTATTTTATTTACTAGGCCACACTATGGCCTCTAGGTAGAAGGAAATCCCAAATTCTGAACTCTAAACCCTCACACAATATTATTTCTACAAAATTGTGGTGTCCGATTTGGCAACAACTCTTTGTTTTACGTTTATAGCTAGCTTATTCTAAATTAAATTTGCATGCAACTTTTAAAAATTGTATAAGAAGAGAACTGCTGTGCCTTGGCCAGTGGTGTGCTACTTTAAAATCCTATTCAATAGGACATAATTCCAGTGCGACTGGGAATTGCCACAATATTTATTGAATTATATACATTCAAAGGGTGAACTTTATAGTATGTAAATTATCTCACTAAAGCTGCTAAAAATTTTTCTTTTTAAGTTCTTCTTTAAAAGGGGGCAATTTACAATCTCTATACACAACAAAAAAGGTGTTTTCCTGACTGACGCCTCCCTTATTTCTGGTAATACCTGGAGGGAACCAGCAGATCCCAGGGCTGGGAAGGAACCAGGCAACAGGGCGCTTCAGTGACGTCTTGCCCAGGACACTCAACCACAGGGGACCCGCCTTTTCCTAAGCTGTACAAACTCTTTGCCCTTCCCGCAGGAGGACTACAACCAGCTGAGGCCGCTCTCCTACCCCAACACCGATGTGTTTTTGATCTGCTTCTCTGTCGTGAATCCTGCCTCTTACCACAACGTCCAGGAGGAATGGGTTCCAGAGCTGAAGGACTGCATGCCTCATGTGCCTTACGTCCTCATAGGGACCCAGGTTAGAAGCAGCGATGGCGGGCAGGGTGGGCAGGGCGGGAGGGCAGCAAAAAAGGAAAGACCCTTTAGATGTCTCCTGAACATCTATTTCACCAACACGAGAGAAGAGTGTCTCAGATATATCAATCCGATAAACAGCCGTTCTTAAGATCTGCATGATTATTTAGCCCGTGGTCGAAAAAACAATAGAGCTATTTAATATGAAGCAGCAGGTTTTGATGTGGTCTTTAAAAACTGATCTCTCTGCTTTTTATTTTTAAATAACAAAGTACATTTCGAAGTAGACGCCCTTCTCCAGCCCTGAGCGGGAGGAGTGAGGTGGGAATGTCAATCACACTTATTGTCTAATATTTTTTATATCTGAAATCTACAACTGTTTGGAAGTCACAAAATAGGTGTGAATGTCAAAATGACCCCAGTAGTCAGAATGGGCACATTATGACAGGAACTCCTTAACACCACTGGAGAAGGAAGACAGAAATTCACTCTTCTCTGTTCCCTTTAAACCTCTTAGTCTTGGGCGCCTGGGTGGCTCAGTTGGTTAAGCGACTGCCTTCAGCTCAGGTCATGATCCCAGGGTCCTGGGATCGAGTCCCGCATCGGGCTCCCTGCTCTGCAGGGAGCCTGCTTCTCCCTCTCCCACTCCCCCTGCTTGTGTTCCCTCTCTCGCTGTGTCTCTCTCTGTCAAATAAATAAATAAAAATCTTTAAAATAAAAAAATAAATAAATAAACCTTAGTCTTCTGGATCTTAGGAAAGAGGTTAAAAACGGATGTAAAGAAACCTGTGATTGTCAAAGGCTTTGAAGTCTTTTGAAAGCTAATGAAGTTCTATAATTTGAATTTCCAACAGTAAGCCAATTGCACAAATGTGTTTGAGATTTTTCCTACTTTTTATAGTTTTGAAAGGATTGTGTTCTTCTCTACGTTAAAACCTAAATTACTATCCAAAGACACAGAAACGTAGTAATACTGACGGGTTTTATTGTTATCTGTTTCATATGCTCCTGCTTTCTATTTCTCATTTTATATTCTGTTTAACAAATAGAAATTTTTAAAAATAATAAAAGAAAAGTACTTCCTAGAGAAGATATGGACAGATAATTAACACATCCAAAAATCAGAATATAGTTAGTGCTTCGACTCTGAAAGATAATTGTTTAAATGCAGTCTTTTACCTTAACTCCAGATGATAACATTTGGCCATATTGGCCAAAATATGTGACAGGACCTAAACATCTTTGTGCAATTTGAGCCGATTTTACAATTGTGGGCACTACATTGAACAATCGAGACCAAAAAAGAAAAAAAAAAACCCACAAATTAGAAAAGCTGAGCAATGTGCTTATAAATGGAACTCTCATATATGAATACATTGGCTTTTCCTTAAAATTCAAGCCCACATTTACACCCATTCATGTATGCATAGGTTCACACACATGGTGAGATTTTTTTTTAAGTATTAATTATTTTATTTCTCAAAATATTTTATATTATATAATTTTAATTACTAAGGAATTTTATTGAAAGTGTAGACATGTTATGAAATCTTTCTAATCACATGTAAATTGACTCCTATATCATAAACACAACAACAATAAATCCATGCTTCTCCAGGTTAAGAATCTGTGTTAAGTAATTATAGAAGAGTGCCATGATATATTGCTCCTATATCTGGGCAGATGATCATTTTAATCATTAAAAGCTTCTAGTTTCGGGGCGCCTGGGTGGCTCAGCTGGCCGAGCGACTGCCTTTGGCTCAGGTCATGATCCCGGAGTCCCAGGATCGAGTCCCGCATCGGGCTCCCTGCTCAGCGGGGAGTCTGCTTCTCCCTCTGACCCTCTTCCCTCTCGTGCTCTCTGTCTCTCATTCTCTCTCTCAAATAAACAAATAAAATCTTTAAAAAAAAAAAGCTTCTAGTTGCATAAATTATTTCAGGAAAGGGTCTAAAAGATCAAAACCAAGTAAGCAGAAGATCCCTTTTAACTAAGGGGTCATTCACATGATGGATGTTGCATAGATGTGGGTAGAAAAGGAGAGTCAACACACACAGGTCTATTGCTGTAGGAATAAAAAATTTCTCAACCTTTGCTCCCTTGCCCAAAATGTCTGTGAAGTGAAAAACGTACAAAAGGAGAGCATATCACATGGTGAGATTTTAAAGCAACTAAAATATTTAATTAAATTATCAAAACTAATCCAAACATATATGCCATTTTCAAAGTAGTTCCGCCTTTGAAAAGATTAATGCTTATTCCTCGAGCAGACCCTTTGGGAATTCCTTTTTAGGATGTGCCTTCAGAGCCTATAGTGACATTCCTTGGAATATCCTCACAGGAGGCAAATCTTTATCCTGGTGAGGGTAAAGACAAAGATGTATTCAGAGCCAAGAAATAGACTATTAAGAAATGAGTAATATAATTTGGGATCAAATGAGGCATCACTGTAAGGTAATAAGACTGATCGATCATCATGCATCTCCTATAAGTGGGATCTAAAAATAAATAGGAAATTTCAAAGGCGCCTGGGTGGCTCAGCTGGTTAAGCGACTGCCTTCGGCTCAGGTCATGATCCTGGAGTCCCTGGATCGAGTCCCAGATCGGGCTCCCTGCTCGGCAGGGAGCCTGCTTCTCCCTCTGACCCTCCCCCCTCTCATGCTCTCTGTCTCTCATTCTCTCTCTCTCAAATAAATAAATCTTTAAAATAAAATAAATAAATAAAATTTAAAAATTAAAATAAATAGGAAATTTCAAAAATGCCTGAGACAAACCACGGGATTATTGGCATTAAGTCCTCAGCTTCCCGGGGGACTTGCTTTTGAAGAAGAAAGCACATGGAAAGACTGATGTTTATATTTACAAAGAAATCACTTTACTTTTTTAGATGTAACGTGGGCATGTGTATGTGCCTCCTTAAAGAAAAGTAAGCAACTTCATAGATCTTAAGGGAGGGGGGTGGAATCTCTACCATATGGTGGTTTAAAATCACAGTTAAAATCGCTGGTTAGGTAAAAAAAAAAAAAAGTGAATTTATCACATGTGTATTTTTTTTTTTTTGCCAGATTGATCTTCGCGATGACCCCAAAACCTTGGCCCGTTTGCTGTATATGAAAGAGAAACCTCTCACTTACGAGCATGGTGTGAAGCTTGCAAAAGCGGTACAGTCAGATTTGAATCTCATTTTAAGTATATGCTGAGAGAAGAATTTGGTGTATGATTTGGAATGGGTGAGCTACGTAGGCTTTTGCTTTGAAGTGCAACATGTTCGAGGATCTTCTGTCTGCTTCATGCTGTTCCCTCTGTTCTGAGTAGTCTGGAAGGGACCATTTGGTTAGCATTCTTCCCAGCCACCATTGTCTGTTTCTTGTTAAGAAAGAAACTTGGTGAATTAAACCACTGAAGCACTTACCATTTGATTTAGCAAACTTTGGAATATCGAGTTGCTGTATTCAGGGTGAATCAAGGCAGTCATTAGAGATATATATATATATATATTTGTACATCTCACTGCTTATTATCAATGTAATTCATTGAAATGACCCCATAAAAGGCATTTTGTGATTTCCTTGGGAAAAACTTAGATTAGCATCTGATAGGGTTATATTTGTTCACCATCTAATGAATAGCCACTTAGGCTGGATTATGTTATAAACACCATCAAGAAGAGTAACATAGACCAGAGGGTAACCAGTTGGGGAATCCAAGTGCCTGCTGACAGATGATAGCAACTAGCCCATAGCTGGAACTGTTTTCACCGACCTTGCTTCGTTCTTGAGAGCTTCACATGAATGGTGATTCTGACAGGGAAATTATTTAGACCAAATTATTTAGACCAAATCAATTACCACCAAGACGTGTGTAAAAGCAGACACTAAAATGGACACAAGAGGAGGAGGTGTTTTATGCAAGAGGAGGCTTTTAAATCATTTCCATAACCTGAGTCCACCTCATTGATTTAGTCACAAACCCAGAGGCCCGGGCCAGAGGTTTCAGAAATTGCTCTTTTTCTAAAGTAACTAAAGCTTCTGGGGGCACCTGGGTGGCTCAGTCAGTTGAACATCTGACTCTTGGTTTCAGCTCAGGTCATGATCTCGTGGTCATGAGATCAAGCCCCAAGTCGGGCTCTGAGCTCAGCGGGGAGTCTGCTTGAGATTCTCTGCCCCCACCCGATACTCTGGCTCATGCTCTCTCGCTCTCTCGCTCTCTCTCAAATAAATAAATAAATAAAATCTTAAAGTAACTAAAGTTTCTAAAGTAACTAACCCTGCAAAATGCTGGGCAGAGACGGAGTCACCCTTTTAAACCCATCAAGAAGAATATTACCTACAAATTCTTTGTGAATAAAGATGTATGCATTTCTTTTTTTTTTTTTAAGATTTTATTTATTTATTTAACTGAGAGAAACACAGCAAGAGAGGGAACACAAGCAGGGGGAGTGGGAGAGGGAGAAGCAGGCTTCCCGCGGAGCAGGGAGCCTGATGCAGGGCTCGATCCCAGGACCCTGGGATCATGACCTGAGCCGAAGGCAGACGCTTAACGACTGAGCCACCCAGGCGCCCCTAGATGTATGCATTTCTCTTCTTAAAATGTTCTTATAGGCACCAGGACTAAGTGATACACTCAAATAGAAATGAATTAAATAGAATTGTGTTTTTATGGACGCTACATGAGAATGTCTCACACATACTTGAGACAACACTTCCTACTTCTGTGACTAGCATGTCAGAACTTCCAGTATGAGCCATTCACGGAGTTCTTATAATACTAAGCACTTTACAGGCTCTGTCTCATTTCAGCCTTTCAGTAACCCTCTTAAGCAGATAGTGTTTGTCTCATCTTGCAGGTGAGGAAACAGAGTCTTAGGGAGATGAACACAGCTGATAATCACACAACCAACTTTAATCCAGATCTGTGGGTGTCACCCCTGTGCACCTGACCATGGTGTAAACTGTCTCCTCCAACCATTTATTTTGCTGATAATTCACACAGCTGATAATCACACGACCAACTTTAATCCAGATCTGTGGGTGTCACCCCTGTGCACCTGACCATGGTGTAAACTGTCTCCTCCAACCATTTATTTTGCCTCCTGTAAAATGGGTACATGCTTATAGGTTCTTCTACCTCCTCCTCACACATTCAGCTTAACTTCCCTTACTAAGGCACATGGACATATAGCTCCACAGACTATTGTATATGATTCCCAGCTATGCATTTTTCACAACGAGGAGGCCGGCCCCCTCTCCCCCCAGAGAATCAGCTGGTGCATTTTGCAGGAGTTTGGTCTCTGTGTCCCTTGCTTCTGTCCTATCTCCACCATAATGTTGGCGTCCTGGCCTGACTTCTCATTTAGGAAGTTGTTTTTCCCTTTGAAAAGAAGTCACTCCAAAGCCTCCCATCTCATTTCATACTTATTTTAGGAACAATGGCTGAGTTCACCACTTTACTGCCTTTTGCCAGTTTCTCCTAGCAACTGCTCTCGGATACGGAGAGAATCATGTTTAGCTTACACAATCCAATTTAGAAGAAATCCAAGCAAGAGTTTAACTTGTTTCATCACAATGCGTGTAATTATAGAGGTGCTTTAAGTTTCTCTGCTGCCTGACTTTCCTGTCAAGTAGTTTATAGTAACAGCTAACATCTATGGAGTGTTTGCTGTGTGCGAGGCATTTTGCCAAGCACTTTGCATGCTTTGTCTTAATTAATCCTCACAGCAACCCCCTGAGGTGTGTGTATTATTAGTTCCTTAGAGTTCCTAGAGGAAACTGAGATTCAGAGAAGTGAAGGTCACACCGCTAGAAAGTGGCAGAACTGGGATATGAAACTGCTTTGACCACCATGCTCTTCTGCTTCCCTCCTAGATTCTGAAAAAAAAAAAAAAAAAAAAAAAAAAAACCCTTAGGTTTGGGGCTTCTTTTTTACATACCGAAGCCCCATATTTTAATGTGCATATTCTCCCCCATAGTTTAAATGGTTTGCAAGTTCAGATTTTTCATATTTGATTCCTTTTGTTCAGTACTTTTCAACTTCCAAAGCATTTTTCATCTATCATCTCTTTTTAGTCTCAAAGGGCATTTTATTTTTAAAGGATATTTTCATATCATACATATTTACAATTCTTTACATTTGTCAAAAGTCAATCACATTTACATAAATATTTTGTATCAATTGATGATAAATATTCATTGTTATCCCTCTACTTGTTTTATCCTCCCTCTTCTTGTCATTATTGCACTTCTTAATCTCCAGCCAGCTTTCCTCATCTGCACATGTCTTTACTATTCCTGGGTTTACTTGTCAATAACTCACCGAACACCTAGTGTGTGCCAGGCGCCTTGCTACACTTTAGCTTGAAGATTATAATTCTTGGTGCATTCTCTTTCCCAATTCCATCTGACACAACCTGAACCTGAATTTCTAAGTTCAGACTTCCTAAGGTATTTCTTGACAAAATGTTTCCTCTTTTTCAGCCTCTGGCCTCTTTTTGCCTTATCCTGCTGTCTTCTTCACCCTGTGCCTTTCTTACTCTTGTTCTCACTCTTTGTCTTGGTACCTGTTTCCTGCTGGCTTTGGAACAGGCATGCACCAGTGGGTTTAAAGCAGCAAAATTGCTGCAGAAATCCTGTAATCAGTGTTCAATCATCTTTTTTTTAAGGTTTTATTTATTTATTTATTTATTTATTTGAGAGTGAGCAGGAAGGAGAGGGAGAGAGAATCTGAAGCAGACTCCACACTGAGCACAGAGCTTAACATAGGGCTTGATCCCACGACCCTGAGATCATGACCTGAGCCAAAACCAAGAGTCAGACACCTAACTGACTGAGCCACCCAGGTGTTCCTCAATGTTCAGTCTCTTAATCGACCAGAGTCTTTAATACCCACCTACTGAGGTGCTTAGGTGGCTCAGTCGGTTGAGCATCTGCCTTCAGCTCAGGTCATGGGTTCCTGGATTGAGCCCCGCATCGGGCTCCCTGCTCAAAGAGGAGTCTGATTCCCCCTCTGCTTCTCCCTCTGGCTCGTGATCTCTCCCTCTTGCTCTCTGTTAAATAAATAAACAAAATCTTTAATAATAATAATAATAATAATAATGCCCACCTACTGACTGCAAAAGTCACCGTTACCCTCCTTGTTTTATGTGCTGGCCATCACTTCTTTTTCTCATGGTCATTGAAAAGTGGTTACTACACTGCTGGGATCTGGGTTGCCGAAATGAAGCCCTTTCCCTCAAGAGGCCCATAGGCCAAAAGAGGAAGGTGACCAGCAAACGAAAGCATGCCGCCTGAATGAATACTTAGTACTGAGGTAGCGGGTGGGGCGGGGGTGGGGGGAGGGAGTGATGGACACATTCAGGGAAGGAGGATCCCGAGACAACTTCTTGGAGCAGGTGACATCTGAGCCAGGTTTGAAGGATAAGGACAAGTTTGTCAAGTGGACAAAGTTGGGGACTAGGGAGAAAAAAATTCCAAATAGAGAGACCAGTACATGTAAAGGCATCCTTTAAAGCATAGGGAGTACACTGGCAAGTGATGAGCCAAATTTCACCCACAAATGCTTTCATCAGTCCACACGTGTATTTTTAATGTGATCTAGTGGCCAATATTGAACAACGAAAGTTTTCATGAAGATACACATTTCTGTCTTCTAAAAAAAAAAAAAAAATCAGAAGGTCTGGCAACACTAGGCCAGCATTTCCTCATCAACTGCAATCCTTCAACAGTCTTTTAGACAAGGTATGTAACCTTCAGTTTGCCACAATCCCCACCACTCCATATTAACCTACACACTCGAGCAGTGCACTCACATTATCTAGCCACCCCTGTGCTGGCAATCGCTGCTTTATAGTCTTACAAAAAAATCAGCTGCAAATCCATCCAGCCTAGAAACATTTTTCCTCTTTGAGCAATTCGTTATGATGAAATTTATCACACAAGCTCTTGGGTTCCTTTTCCTTTTCTTAGCTTTCAAATTGCCTGTACCTTTCCTAATTCTTAAATAAGTGAGAAAAAACTTGTTATTCACTGGTTGTTGAGATAACAGCTTCCTCTGTTTATTCCACTAATATTTTCTCTTCTCTCCATTTATAGGAAATGCCTTACTCTTTCACCCCATCCTCTCTCATCACCCTCATTACATCCAAAACAACATCTCCGTTTGTTCATTAGTTTTGCTCTTTCGGCCACATTTCTTTTCACTTGCTAGAGGCAGCCCCACAGAGTGGTTAAGACTCTGGCTCAGGGAACAAATTCAAACCTCTGACATTGTTTTAGTCATGTGCCCTTCCGGAGGGAACCTCTTCTCTCTGGTGTCAGTTTGCTGAGCTGCAAATGAGGATGGTGACAGACCTACCTTGCAAAGTCCTTACAAGGATTAAGTGACCCAAGAAACGTGAGGTCCAGCTCAGCAAACTATAGTTGTCATTAAATTCATGTGCCTCTCAGAGGCATCTATAGCTGGGAAGACCTGTCTTTGCCTTTATTCCTTCCAATTACACTCTATTTTATTCTATAACATGTCCTACCTCCACCAAGACAACCTGGAAGAAGTAGGAGGTTTTCTTTCACTCGATTGGTCACTGTGGGTTTTGTTGATCCATTTGTTTGTTTAATTTCTTCTTGTCAGACTCTTGTATGTTCTCTACATGTATGATAAATTTCCCAGCTTGGGAGTGATAAATTTCAGCTATCATAAAGCTATGAGAAAAGTGTTCTCTCAGTGTACATTCCTCAATCTCTATTTTTTTTTTCTGGAAAATAAATCATTTTGGCAAAGCATGTCACAGATTGCTAACATGTGTATCTAAACAAGCATCCACAAATCCTGAGCTCTTACAGATTGTTGTAAATATTTGGCTATGTAGGTCACTTTGCTCCAAGAAGACGAGGAAGCTGTAAGGAAAGCCATGTTTCCTTGAGACAGTTTTCCATTTCATACTTTTGAGGTCATTAATGAGGTGGTTTATTTTTAGCAATGTCTATAACATGGCTGTGCCTTTTCCCTGAACCAGGGTGAATGAAGTCTTCTTTCTGACCCAGAGCACTTGATACATGGTTAACAAAATACTCACCTCCTAACTGGGTTCTCTTTCTTACACATAGTTCCCGAATCACACCCAAAATCTGTTGGCTACTTTTCCTGGAACTCTCAGTCTGAAACAATGTTATATTAACGCAGTTACACAATAATGCCTTGATCCACTGTTCCGTTATCTTCAGAAATATCTGAATTGGGACAGACGCATCTGGGCTCCTCCTCCACCTTCAGAAGGCAAGCTGTGCCTTGCTGTTAGCAGAGCTCTGGGGGGCAGACAACACAAGCCCCCCGCCCGTCTTGCAGGATCGGATGGCCCAGAGCCCCGCGTGTGAACTGAGCCCAGCTCCCCTGTAATTTCCGGAATCAAGTGAGGCTTGGGATCATAGCGGGGAGGCATTCCAGGCCAGATGGCCCCACAGCACTCTCTGTGGGTATATTTCAGGATGACAGAGAAGAGGCAGCACATTACAGGCAGTCGTTCAGTTGACATCTTCACTAGAGTGGTGTGCGTTTCACACGCTCATAGCCAGTGCTGGCTACAACCCTAAAACATAATCAATGATCTTTCATGACATTGCTAGGAAAATTTTCTCTATTTTTTATCCCTCTTTTGCATCCAACTGTTTTTAATGATTTTAAAAAGCCATTTTGTTTGTTTCTTTCAGAGGTAGAGTTTAGTGATTCATCAGTTGCAGATAAAAAAGCCATCTTTTAATCCAAAGGCCAAACCATGGTTAAAATGAAACCATAAGATAGGTTCTTAATATCCAACATCTTTCCTGTGGGTATTTTCCTTTAGCTCACACAGTATCTATTCTTTATAGGGAAAAAAAAAAGTGCGTAGTATCTGGACCCAACCAGAAAAACTTTATTTCATGCTTAATTTTTGATCGGCTTCTTTTTTTTTAAGATTTTATTTATTTATTTATGTATTTATTTGAGAGAGAGTGCGAGAGAGCACAAGCAGGGGGAGCGGCAGAGGGAGAGGGAGAAGCCCACGTGGGTCTCGATCCCAGGCTGAGCCAAAGGCAGACACTTAATCAACTGAGCCACCCAGGCGCCCCTTGACCAGCTTCTTGCAGAGTTGAGTGATAAGGGTAATCATCATGAAACAAAGAAAAGAATACACGCCAAGAGACCCAGATTCTGGTCTGGTTCTTCTACTTTCTGGTTGGGTGCCCTTCAACAATTCATTTTCCTTCTGGGGCTGTTCCCACTCTATCCTAAGCTAAACTACAAATTCCTTTAGTCCACGCATTGTGAACTGGCTAGTCGCTGACAAAGAAATCACACACTAGTGTCTTGGTTGGCCCACAGAGTATTTTCTAAATTGGTAATTATTAACTAAAAATCCAAAAGTCCAACTGTACAAAGATGGGCAACAGCGAACCACGGCAATGATGTTGTCCACACTGGGTAAGACTGCTAGCTCTCGAAGGGGTGTGTGCTTCAGGTCCGCCCCAGTTTCCACCTGTCCCTCCTGTCTGGCACCCGCCCTGCTTTCCTCATTCACGGAAGCTACTGGAATAGGCATGTGATTTTGCTACCCTGCTGTAGTCATGTATCTGCTGTGGCTTCCAAGGGCTCACCATCCAACTACCCTCTCGTGAATCTGCTTTGGTTCTTCAGTGATTCTCATAATGTGAAGTATATAATAAAAGCATTTCTCCAGACGTCCCTAATATTAAAAGACCCACATTATATCATTAGCTCATACCAAGCTTATGAGCAATTAAAACCCTGAGTCTCCCTCACACGAACAATTTTGACTGCCAAACATGGTCTGCTCTGGCTTGCTATTTTTTAAATGAGAAGCTCTAGTTCGGACTGAATTCCTATATTTCTCAAAGGGATTTTTGTGATTATCAAATATACCATAGTATGAAATCATCAAAAGCTTTGAAATAAAGCTCTATGCCAGAACAAAATATTTTTATCATTTAAGTACATGTCGAATGTATAGTAACAAGGAGGGTGTCTCCATCAGTAAATGTATTTTATGATTTTTATTTTACATGTTTTGGGTTTTTCAACTCCTTAGAAATATGCCTTTTAAAGTATGTTAAAACCAAATAATAATACCAATTGAATATTACCTTGCTGAGACAGACTGCATCAGAAGTGCATTTTAGTGAAGAATGACCTAGCAAACCTTATCACCCAGTCCCTTTCTATATGCTTTACCAACCAAGTTGACACTTTGCCTTCCCGCTTACAGAAGGAGATACATTTCACTTGCACCACATTCACACATTCCAAATGCATATGAAAGGGTGCTAAAAACAACATCATGTAGCCCTGTTGTTCGCAAAGTATATTTAAACCATATCACTGCTTTTGAATCCTCTCTCAATTTTTACATTTGTTATATTCTTATATTAGGAATGACTGGCTATGGCTCACTTTCAGAACTTACTGCTTAACCAAAAGCAATCCACAGCCATTTATTGCTAATATCAGAAAGTAAAAATGAAGGTAGTAGATGCAAATGGAAATGCAAAAAAAAAAAAAAAAAAAAAAAAAACGAAACAAAACAAAACAACCCCAGGGCTGTTTGTGGGACAAGCAGAGGTAGCGCTTGGCTGGGCAGGGGCTGATCCCACTCTGCTCTTCTCTTTTCTTTCCCTCTCACGCCTTTCCTTCTCCCTTTTGTGTTGAAGATCGGAGCACAGTGCTACTTGGAATGTTCGGCCCTAACTCAGAAAGGTCTCAAAGCGGTTTTTGATGAAGCGATCCTCACCATTTTCCACCCCAAGAAAAAGAAGAAACGCTGCTCTGAGTGTCAAAGCTGCTGTTCAATTATCTGAGGCTGCTGGGGGACCGGCCCCCACCCACCTGAGGGTGAGAGTGGCGCCGACCTCTGAGACCAAGCTCAAGCCACGAAGGAGGGCGCGACCAGAGAGGAAGTCCCCTTGCACGGAGCCCTGCTCCTCCACCCCGGGAGCCCCCATCCCCACCCGCAAGCACAGCGCACCAGCTGCCACGTCCCCCCTTCCAGCCCGAAGCGTCCACATTGCGCAACCTGTGAGAATGCTGAGCCCGCCGGAGGTCACCCAGCGACGCTGCTGACCATGTTGCAAACGAAGGCAAAGACCATGCTGCGTTTTGCGTGTCCCCTCCACGAACGTGAGGCTGAGGATAGGAAACCATCCCCAAGAAACCAGAAGAGGAACTCGGTTCCTGTATTGGTGGCCTTACCCCGTGTCTTCTACAAAACACAGGAATACTACACTAACCTTGTTTTCTGAATCTGTTGTTCGACCTATGCGTCTTGCATTTATTTGTATTATTTTAAGAAATGTACTAATTTACCAATTTACTCAGGCCTTACAAGTCCATACCAAATTAGCCTAAAGACAAAATATTTTTTATTCATTTCCATTTTCAGCCTGTTTCTACCAAAGCTATTAGAACCAACACGTACCTCTGAATGCCTGACTGTAAGAAGAAAACAAGAAAATGTTACAACTTTTGGAAATGTACAAAGCCAAGATTTTTTAATCTGGTTGAAAGAGAAACACCACCTGAATTGTTGCGGGGCCACATTTTTGCCAAAGATTCACCCTGGAAATGCTTTCGCTGATGGGTAGCCTTATTTTTATTCTATATTTATATTGTCATGGCAAATTACAAATGAACTGTGTTCAAGAAAGTAGTACTTCTGCTTCTTAATCAAACTGATTGGGGGAGAATATGGCAGACCTAGGTTTTAAAATATTCTCTATTCAGCAAAGTGAACTTCCCTGTTCCCTCCCTTCCCGGGCTCATGCCCTTTTCCTCCCTTAATTTCACTTTCTCCCTTGCCCAATAACAACCTGATCTAAAAGAAAGACCTGGCCATGGGGCATGAAAAAGTAAATGTTTAAAAGTCCTCAAAGGTTAAGCAAAGTGTTTCCATATTTCCACTTGCTTCAACCTGAAGGGTTTCTCAGCTGGGTCCCCTTGGAACTCTAAGGAACTAAATGACGTTTTCCAAGTGCAGCTGGTACTAATATATTGCCTCTCCCTATTTCCTACACTCATTGTCCCAAATGTGCATTTAGGGGATGGATCTGCGGGTACCAAGCTCTGAATCTGTTTATCCCCGCTTTCAAAATGCTGTGTTCTGTAGAACAGGACCTTCGGTCTTGGAAAGTAAAAGCCCCCAGTAAAGAATGATGTGCCCTTTCCATATGCCTCTTCCAAACAGCCAGGGATTCTTGTATCATAGAGTGAATTATTTCCTAGCTTTTATTTAGAGACGATAAAGTCTCCTAATTAGTCTTATTTGTTTACAGTTACCTTGGAAACACCCAGGTAGGCACTTCACTTTTTATTTCAATTGCATAAGCAAAGTGCCTCTTTGCAGCATCAAATTACACCGATTTTAGCATAACAATTTCCGGATTCACACTCCTTCTGTTGGAAAAATCCAGTCTTTCTTGTCCCTTCTGCTCCTGGAGGAAATCCATAAAAAAGAAACATATGATGTGGGTCTTTTCTGTTAAGACCTTCCATGACATCCCCTCAGTTGTTTGGATTTGTTTGTTTGTTTAGAATTTCTGAAAGAAGTTTTCCCCTGTTCCACGTTGCAAGACCTATTTCCCTGCTCTCCCATCTAGTTGCTAAACATTTTCTTAAACACGCACATACATGCGCGCGCACACACACACATATCCCAAACTAAAAGAAAACGGGAGTTTTGTAAGTCAAAGCTTGACATTTAGAGACAAATAGGACTTTCTTCCTCTGTAAATGGAAATCAACCGTGCATAAACTATAACTCTGCAGAGGTTATGGATTCATTCTTTACAAACAATAATGAGCATTTAGCCCTGTAATAAATGGAATGCTGTGTTAGCCAGCTTTGTTGCATTATTGCATAGTTACATCTTACTAAAGGGGCCATTCCTCACTTCTCATTAATGTGGATGAAAAAGTCAGAGCTGTATGTTTGCTCCACCAAGGAGAATTTTCCAGATGTGTGCTTCCAATAGGCGAGTGGTTCCCCAGGCCATCACCTCCCTACTGGACCACGGGGATTAACTCGTTCACAGTGAGAAGATCATCCTCTCACCTAGAACCAGAACCTGAAGAGAGACTGTTAGTGTCTTCGTGGAGAGGCTCCTAAAGATCACAGGAGCTCATTATTAAATAAAATGATGAAGAACAAAGTGACCTAAATGAGTGAATGTCATTCCACCAAATTAACTATGTATTCCCTGTTTCATGGCAAGAGGTAGTTCATTTCCTGCCATAAGATTAAACAAAACTATATTCTGAAGCCAAAGATCAGAAGAGATTTGAAAGAAGGATCTGAAGAAGGATCCTTGACCTTTGACCATCTGCCAAAGTCAAGAAGGGGCAGCCAATCTCCACTGGAGGGTAGAATCTTAGCTTTTCAAAGTTAGAAGAGGCCCCAGAAAATATAGTCCAACTCCCTCATTCTACAAATGAGGAAACTCAAGTCCGGATGGGTCAAAAGAAATGTGTGGTGGCAGAGCTGGAACAGACCTCAGCCATTCTGCTTCTCATCCAGAGCCCTGAACTCCGCACTGTAATCTGTTCATTATCACAGATACTAAGTTATAGTTTTGCAGGTGTATTATTGGAGTTGCATTTGTTCATCCTACAGATCTTGGCCCCATTTCAAATACATGACTTAGGCCACTATAAATTAGATAATCCATCACACTAGTAATTACGTAGAGACAAGAATTTGATCTGCAGTATGCTTAGAATCCACAATATACAATGTACTATAATCCCAATCTAATTGCACAGTATACAGCAATGTAATCAAGTAGCTGGTTTGACAGATATTTTTTTTCTCGGTTAAATGGTTGGTTATTTGGCAGAATTAATGGACTCCCTGGGCTATTTTGGAAACACAAAAGACTACCACAAGAGTCAAAGCCTTGTCACGGTAAGTAATCTGGGCTGATTTCTGCCAAGAAAAGGTATACTCAAAGAACAATTACTGAATGCAATAACTACAGCAAGCCTAAACCAAGAAGCAGTAAACTGGGAAATGAAAAAAATAATTCATACACATATGACAGGAAGGAAGTTTTGGTCCTGAGACTCCAATAACAATATGTCTGATCATGATACGCAAAGAACCATTTGGAAGATTTCTGGTCCATAAAAGAAGTGCCAGATGCAGTAACCATGCACAATTTTCATAGAACCATCAACGAGGAAATAATATTTAACTGGTAGTAAAGGGGCAATCACAACCATGCTCACAATTTTAGGAGAAATTAAAGAAAGTTAAACCCCAAACTTGAGGCCAACAAAAATGTGCATTATGTAGGGTGTAGGTTCTTGTGAGCAGTTAATAACCTCGCCAAGTAGAGTGTTCAAAAGAAATACTTGACCCGAGATAAACATTTAAAGATGTAGTGTTGCATTCACAAAGGCAAACTCATCCATGAGACCAAAGTGATAGAAGATTAGAAATTGAGGTTTGCTCTAAAGGAATGTTTGGCACCATGCTGGAGATGATTATCTAGCCCTTTATGTCTTCGGCCTCTATGTTTGGATGCCAGAATGCAAAATGTGCCTTCTCTCTCTACGGTGAGAGCCACAGGTCACCAGCTACTCTCTTACAAGTCATTGAGTAGGCTGCCCAAGTACAAATAAGGAAACTCAACAGAATATTTTCATCTCAAGAACCATTAGGAACAGAAAGGGAAAAAGAAGATGGGGGAAACCGAGTTTCTTACAAAGGAAATTAGGTACTTTTAAAAAGGAATCATTTAGAGAATGGAGAGAAAACTAAAACGAAACACAAGGCAAAACACACACACCTGACAATTCTCCCAGGCAGGGGCTAAGTTCTGCCTGGCCTCCAGAGCCCTAAGGAAGAAAGGAGGACCGTTCATGTGAAGAGCATTCCAGAGTCAGCCTAGAGGGCTCATCATATGATAATTCTAGATAATTCCACCTCACCATTCCCTAAAAATGTTGAAATTCTGGACAGTGCTCTTTGGGTCTTTGGGAGCAATGTGGTGGGGTCATCATGCTCACACCTTCCCTGCTAATATGGAGCAGATGGGGGAAATTTACCAAGGAATATGAGTGAATCAATTATCTTGAAAGTTTTTTAAGCACTAGCATGACTTAAAATCTGAAAAGGATGACTTTGTGATATCTGGAAAGACAGTAACTTGTATAAAAGGTATGTATTCATCTTCAGCGGACTATCTCCGAATAGAACGATGGCCTTTAGCATGCACAACAACAGTAACAGAACTCAAAAACATGAGCTAAAGCAACAATGCCTGGTGCTTCAGTATCAGCAAAGCCCAGAAAGGAGATGAAAACGCTGAGCTCCACACAGAGGTATTTCGGGCTTCAGAGGCTGGGCAGCGCTCGTCGGAGATCTCTGTAGGTTAGGGGAGGAATGAGTCAAGGAGGGTCTGGCTCATCTGTGAATTCAGGGATGCAAGTTCAACAACAGTTCTTGGCTTTTAACTTCCAGGACAGGAAACTAGAGTGAAAGCTGCATGATTTGTCTTGGTCACAATCTATTTTTTTTTCTCCTTAGGGAATATTATGTCAAAATCCAGAGTCGTTTTGTGCCTGTGTGCTTTAAACATGTTCTACCCTGGTAATCGCATTGTGTCCTGAGTTCTGCAGTGGCTCAGAAGCTTCTTGCTGCTATAGCCAGAGTGATTTTGTTGTATCTTCAGCCATGTCCTCCGAACCTCTCAGTGTATGCAGTTATCTTTGACGAACGGGGTCTGATCAGTGGTTTAGGGGATATGATGTCTGGGGCAATATGAGGAGAGGGTCCCCAAGGCACAGAACTGAGTCTCACCGTACAAGCCACATTAGCTCCCCGAGCTTCCCAGTAACCCTGCACATGCCCGTCTTTTGAGTTTGTTAATTCTTCTCAGGAAGAAATAGTAAGACTTTCATGGCAGGATGGTATGTTTGGGACAGCTTTGTAAATACCTAAAATTAGCACCACCTGCCATTTTTTAACTCAAATTTTTAAAGCAATCCTCTCCTAGAGGAACCATGGGAAGGAAGGTTAATGAATTCTACATTCTTTGCATCACCTGGCTTAAATTGTTTTTTTTGCCCTGAGTAAACAGTAATTACCATTTAAGTACATCTCAGCAGAATTTTATCCCACCTGAAACAGTCCATGTTGTTCCCGATGTGATCGCTACAGGGGGAACAATAGACAAGGGAAGGACTGCCTTTCTTACAACCTGTTTCTTATGTAACGGCTATTCTATGTACACTTTTGTAATTCATGGAATATTATTTCACGTTCTCTTTAACCTTGCAGTTTGCTTTATGCCATGTTCTGACGTTAAAGTCATTAAATAGTTTTTTTCTCCTACTCTCATTTCTGAGTTTTCTGAGGGTGTCTTCATCAGCCACGTGAGCAAACTGCCTTCCCCAGGCCTCCGTTAGAATGGGAAACCATCCAGCCCTTTGCTTCTCCAAGTGTGTCCTAGGGACCAATAGTCCGCATCACTGTGGAAGAGCCAGTTAGTGCTACAGAAACTCAGGCCCAGTCCAGACCTACTGAATCCAAATCTGCATTTTAAATCTGCACTTAATAAGACCCCCCAGGTCACCTGCACATTAAAATTTGAGAGGGACTGATCGACGAGATGACCCACCACCAGTTGTTAAATCCAAATGTGTAGCTGCCTGATGAAGAGACCATCCGCTTTGTTTGTCCCTCTGATGCTACCCTTTGGGTATTCGTTGGGCTAATATTTTGTTGTTCGCATTTATTGGGTGAATAAAAAGGCTTCCAGAAGCCTGTCATGTGATGCACAGCTGCAGTAAAGCAATAATCCTATTTTGGAATTAAAAGCAGAAAAAGCAGCATCTGGTTTGAAAGATCTGCTAAATCTGAAATACTTCTGTTCTTCAAGGTTTTTTGGTGTTTATAAGGGAGAGAGGAAAAAATGCCCTCCAAAACTATTTTCCATGAAAAAACAAGAAAGATTCATATCACAGGAAGTTATGAACTTATAAAAGGAAGATAAAACAAATTTCTGAGGCATAAAAGTTTGGATGAAGCTTCTGTCTGCATTGCTTAAGACGTGCTCTAGATGCCAAAATAAGGGTTGACCACAAACGTGTCCTCTCAGCGGGGCCTTCCACAGATTTATATCCTTATTGTCCTATGCACAGACCAGAGTTGTATTCACTTATTCAATATATTTTTACTAAACATCACTGGGAGCCATACTTGATTTCCCCACACACACCCGCCCCCTCCCCCATGTACAAGAGCTCTTTAAAAATTGCACGCACACACGCAAACACACGCATGTGGAAGTAGATCATCTTATTCAAATCCCATTGTTGCCGAGTAAATTCTGAAGGCAAATCATACCTACCCTCAAACAAATGAAGAAAAAGCACAAGGGTCATCACTTCCTTTGTACCTGCAAATGGCCTACTAGTTATCTGGCTGGGAGATCAGCGATTCCAACCCAGAATGACCCGATGTCATTGTGCAGATACAATCATTCGGGGACCACCTCCTCTGTGAAGGACGACCTTCCCCGTCTGGCAGCAGGCTTCCCTTCACACTGCTGACAGAGTTCTGACCTTGGTACTCAAAATCAGGTGTCCTCCTTCACGCTCTAGGCTGAGGGAACCCACCGGTGTCCCAAGATTCCTTTAAACTGAAGTTACTTGTAAACTGGGACAGCTTTTACATATGGGAGCAGTTTGGCTACCAAAAGCGGTCAGCATTCTTGGAAGGGTTTAGTCAAATCCCAAAATAGAATCTTACCAAAGATTATTTTCATTATTGCAAATGTATCCCTGATTTCTTGCTCTTAAACCACTGGTCCAAGCCGCCAAAAAGTGCTCCTTACACCAGGGACTGCCACAGCCCTGCACACCCACCCTTCACTTTCTTCCCCAGGCCTCACAATAAAGCCTGTTTTCTCTCTTCATAAGAAACTAATAGAGCAAGAAAATTGGCATCAACAATCAATCTCTCTTCAAGAATCCATTTCCTCGCAATTTTTAAATGTTTGATTTCCAGGCCCTTTATGGCAAGAGTAAAAGAAAATCCCAGTCCAAGATATCTGAGAGCCACCTTTTTTGAATAAAAACTATTCCTACTAAATTAAGCACATGGAAATAATAAAGTGCTAAAGAAGGGAAACCCCTCAATCAGAGCCCACTCTTCCCCTCGTCTGCAGCGTACAGCACAGAGCTTGGCATGAGTGAACCGACGGCACATAAGTTCTTTTTGGCTTTGTCCTGAAGTTGGCTCAGATTTTGGTAATGCTGAAATTTGCATCCCATTTCAATTGGACTTTATTTCTCATTAACTGGTATTTATGTTTCAATAGGGAAATGTTTCAGCATTAGCTTCCTGAGGTGGCTCAAGCAGGAGCTAAAAGCTGAACAAAATCTTCCTCTTAAAAACATTTCCAACCTATTTTAAAATGCTGATGTCTTAAATCCACTCAGTAAAATTGGCTACCCACCCCTCCAAATATTTTAATCTTGATATGCAGATTTCATATCTTCAGACAGAAGATGGAGGTTCGGAACAACCTAGAATCTTAGATCACCTCCCTTAGATGGTGTACCTCGTCATGCTGTAGACATACCTAGATTTATAAGTAGAAATCTCTGCAGGAGCAACACAGAGAGGTCAAGAAAGCATGATCTGTTCATACATTTCCTGTAGAAAGAACATGCAAAGTAACAGGATTAAATTTCTATTTTAAGTGCATAGTTCTGCAAGAATCTTTCCTCGAGATAATGACAATTCTTAATTCATCATAACCTTTTTTGTGTATGCATAGTTTAAATTTATTTTAAGTGAATAAATGCTCTTTTAAATAATTTTAAGTTGTATATTATTTGTGACTCAGGGATATCTATATTTCTTGCTGGTAATTGTATCTTCAACATCACCAAAAGAATATTACCATTCTCATCTCGGTAATATTGATATTCTATGTTAAAGCAAAATATTTTCTTTGAGGGAATGTTGTTTGTTGGTTGGTTGGGGAGTGGTTGTATTTGGGGTTTGAGTGATTTTCCCAAAGCCCTAGTAACCCACAATCAAGGTCAAAGTATATATGATCCAGTACATTGGGAAACCTTAAAAAAAAACAAAACTCAATTATTCAGTATGCTAATGAAATTGTACAGTCAGGGGAACTTAGAGTCAATTATAAAGCGAAAGAGCTTAGGAAATGTTTACTTTACTCCTGATAATGAGGACCTGGAACAGAGGATAGAATAACCCCTCTAAATTCCTTAACATTGGAGCCAAGTCTCTGTCATACACTACCAATTACAGCACTTTGCACCTGCTCCTTTTCTCATCCTTTCCCTATTTCTTTTCTTGTTGTTAGACATCACCTCTTCAGAGGTCTTCAGATACCCCAGGATCACAACAACCAGCCACTAAGCATTCTGGATCTCCCTGTACACAATTCCAAACAATCTCATTCATTAAAACAAAGGGAACTCAAAAAATAAGAAAATAAAACAAAGGGAACTCATTGTAAAAGAAATCCCAGAAGATTCATCTAGCCACGAATGACCAAAATTCTTCTACTCCACGTAAACTTTCACTAGTAGAAATTTTCAACAGAAAATAAAATTTGCAGAATTTGCTAAAGAATGGTTTCGAAGTTACTTCTTAATAATTTGCTTTAATGTTTTGAAGAAAACTAAAAAAGATAAGGTGCACATTATTTTATAGAAAACATCTGGGTGAAGAAGGCAAGCAGTCCTCTGGGAAACTTTATAAAATAAACATTTTAATGAATGCTGTGTTATTTTCAGTTAGAGATACAACTCACTTATGATCCCAGAAATGCTTTCTATTACATTTAAAACCTAAATAATTTGAAGAGTGAATTGGGTCGCTGCAGCAAGATTTGGTACTCTCCTGGTGGCTCTTTCATTTCCCAATCAGTGAAAAAAGGGAAGCATGAATTACCACTTCAATCAATGGAGCTAATAAACCTAGAAGTAGAATGAGCTGTGAGAATTTATACATTTCATTCAAAAACGTTCCCATAGAAAAAAAAATTTCAGGAAATTCCCCTTCTCCTTACCTTTCGTTAATTGCAAAATAGACACATTTTCGGGAGCAAGGAGTTGCTGAGAGTTTATCTAGAGCTCACCTCAAGGCACTGGACCATCATTCCCCTGCACCCGGTGCTCACACTGCCATCAGGTGAGAGCACACAACCTTCATTTCCACAGCAGGTGTCTTTGAATTTCCCTTTGAGGCTCCTACTCCTTTTCTCCCTCAATCTCTCCTGCTGTAAGCTTTGATCGGAGCTACAGCAAAGCATTATCTTCCTAAAGGTTATACAGGAAAGTAGAAAAAATTGCAATCTCCATAAAACAACCCAAGTTGGCGCCAAGCCACCTCCGGGAGAGACTTCAAACATGCTGATCAGGGGTGAGGATAGTCTAACCTCAAGAACTTCAAAGACTTCAGCCCAAGCAGTAATGACTAGGAAGGAGCACTCCAAAAAGGCATCACGGTCCAATGGCAAGAGGTTGGTTCTAGGTCAGAGAAACCTGGCACGTGCAGCCTATCGGCTGTCGGATCTTGGGCAAGTTACTTGACTTCTCTGAGCTTCACTTTCATCATCTATATAGTGGTAATGGTAAAATGGCAATTACACTGCCTAGGAGCATGGTTGACATAAGAATTAGGAAGAATTAATGGAAAGGATCCTGCTTAGAGTAAAAACATCCATCAGTGGTAGCAATATTTCTATCTTTATTTCCCAAACACAGTGCCCTGCACAAAATTAGGGTTAATAAATATTGTGGAAATGAGGGATGGAGGGAGAGAAGGGGGAAGAAGGGAGAAAGGAAGTGGGAAGAAAGAACTTTGAAAAAGATTCAAGGTTAGCATGGAGAAAGGTATTTCACTCTTTTTATTTGATACCTATATATATTAGTTTCTTTAATACCATGAACCAGGGACACCGTGGAATGTTAACCAGCACCATAGATCCTGCAGATCAGAGGCTTCTGACTGCTCTTGCGGTTTCACTGCCCTTGACAGCAGTTATGTTCACCTTCGCTTACAGCTATAGGTCATCACCTGGGCTCTGCTATCCCAGACCCTCTCATCTCTGCTGACACCAGGAAGCCCAGTTCTGGCATCTTCTCTCCATTAATATAAGCCACCGTTTCCCCCAAGCTTTAAAGAGCCATCCCAACAGCTCAGTGGGACCAGACCCAGGTGCCCTAGTAAGAATGTTAGTCCTGATTCATGGGAGAATGTGCCCATTAAAAAAACTCTTATCCAGGAGGCCAACATTTATTGGACTGAATCTTGCTCTCTTGCTCTCTCCCTTCCCATTCAATTCTGCTGAAAATCAGGGTGTGGAGCAGAGTGAGATTGGGGTACTTTCTCCCCCACCTCCCTCCCCACCAGGCCTCGATTTGGGGCTGGCTGGGTCATCCTAAGAAAGATTGCAGCTCCCATCAGGCATTCCTTTTCCACTCTCCCGGGGTCTGATAATCACTCCCTCTTCTCCTTCAGTCTAGGATGTTCATTGCTTCTAAACAGTATTCAGAGTGTTTTATCACCCCTTGTTGGTTTCCTTAACTCTGCCCACGCATTTAAATAGCATCTTCCTTGAACTGTCCTCAATATCCCGCTGCAGTGTATCCCTTGTTTCCCACCGTGCCCCTTACGGATGCTGTAGTCACCTTCTCTCAGATTGTGGCAAGCCCTTACTGCTCCTGCTTTTCTTCCTTAAGTTTCTTTAAGAAGCAGCCCTTCCTATCAGGAAATTCTGAGGGAAGTTCTTAGGGATGGGCTGAAAACACTTGAGAGGGGCCACCCCGTGTTGTCCCTAATCACTCAACGACTTTCTATGTGAGAATGACTTTCTTGCCTGCTAACAGATCTGCACTAAAGACGGGGATGGATTTTGCTCATGTCCTTTGTCCCCAGATGTCTGCCTCTGCATCCCCGTCCTCGACCATCAATCCCAACATTCACTTTACTATCTTCATGAAGACTTATCCGTTCCTCATTCAAGGAGGGCTCCCGGCTCCCAGCTGGGATATGCCAGGGGTCTGAGTCCCGACTGAGCCACCTTCGGGACTCATGATATAGTCAGTCACTTTTCTGTGTCCCTTCCTAAACGTGACATCCTAAATTAATGTGTAAGTAAAAGTAGTTTTGAAGTTCATTTTGAGGGTGCTTGCTATTGTTAAAGTATATTAAAGACTAAAAAGACTTTTTTGAAAGTTTTCATAAATTCAAAAGACAGAGGACATGCTTTATTGGCATTAATACAGATTTTCTTGGCATATCATGAAAAAGGAACAAAGTTCATTTCAACCCCAAAATGTCAGAATTAAAGACACTTGCATAATACCAGAGTTAAAAAAAAAAAAAAAAGTCACAGAGAATCAGCTGCTGTAAGATTTTAGAAAGCGCAAGAGCTAGACCATCACAGACTTACCCTGAGACAGCAGGGCAGCTTTACCCCGACAAACGCGCGAAATTTCCGAGTTTAAAAATCACAACTTAAATTTAAAATATGCTAAATGGAAAAGAATATTTGTGATTAATCATTTTGGGCCTGGCTTCAGGAGAACATCACATGAGTCTAAAACCAGAGTTGAGCTGCAACATCTTTAAACCTAAATGATGGCTTTAGTTACATATTTTTTTCTGAAGGTTTGTTTTTGTTTTTGTTTTTTTATCACAAAGGGGCCTCTTTATTAAGGACTTTGAGAATTTTGCTTGGGAAAAGAATCACCCAGAACCAGACGTTTCTCAATTTCAGCTACTATTGCCCTCCCTTTTTAATCTGAGCGGTCTCTGTTTCTTGTGTAGGTAAGTGCTCAGTTAAAAACCAGAAGGGAATATTTTCTCGAAGGAAGCTTGCAGTTGGATTTTCTTTGGGGGCATGAGGACGAAGCATTGGTTTTATTGATTTCTGGCCCTTTGATCACACATCTAGCTGCAGACCAATTGTTAAATAAAACATGAGAACGTAAAGACTTTCTAGACCCATTTCCTAATTACTCCCACTGCATTTAAACCATTGGCATATTATAAATCCAAATTGGAGGAGGATTGTGATATATGCAAATTATGTTCTGAGATTCAAGGTAAAGACAAAATAATTTGCAAGTATGTGAACCAGAGAAATTATTGCAGTGAAAACACAGATACTGTTTTGCATTTTTAGCATCGGCAGGCTGCCTCTGGGCCTTGTGCCTGAGCTGGACCCAAGGGAGACAGGTAACCGCCACAGGGGTGGTCAAAATTAGACAGTGTTCGAATCCAGGGGGAGAGCTGCTCGTGCTGGCCGTGCGGTGCATCCGTGAGGCTCGAGGCCTCCAGCTGTGTTCTGCCGGCCACACCAGCTTCAGAGGGTCTCGCACTCCGTGCTGGCTGTGGAGCAGGCCCCACAGTCACAGCGGACAGCCACGGGGTAGGTGTAGAAGGGGTCCACTCCAGGGGCGCAATTGGGCAGCTTGACCGTCACTTGTCTGGTCTCGTTGTAGGTACAGACTCGATGATGGGCTTCAATGTAGGGGGGCTCCAGAATGGGCTTCTGTCCCCACCCCGGTAGAAAACAGGGAACCCATTAGAACATACCATCTTGTTTCTTGTTCTCGGTACCATTTATCACTTTCAGAAATTAACTCGCTAGTCATTTGTTTACCTGTGAAATCTCTCCCTTCCCAGAAGATAAATTCCTGAAAGCAGCAACCTCCTTTCCATACCATATCCTGAGCTCCCAAAAGAGCCCAGGGCACATAGCAAGTGCTCAGTAAATATGTAGCAAATGAATAATCCTGATCATTGCAAAAGTCTTCTAACGAGTCTCTCT